TCTCAATCCCTCATTTCACAGTCAAGGTGACCCTGTTTCACACCTTATGCAAAGAAGTCAGAAAATCAAACAGAGATATGTTCCACAGATGGAGAATACACTCAGGATTTGTATATGAGACTCTGTGGTTCAGCACAAAGCCCAGCATGTGACACAAGGAGGAAAATGGCTGACCTTGTGATTCTGAATTCTCCCCAGGACAAAACTAGCCAAGTATCCAGAATGGATGAGAAACAGATCAGTGACCTATTGGTCTTGGAGCTCAACTGCAATGCTCATCCTCCCTAAGAGACGCCCAAGCACCTTGATCTACTCAGAGTTGCTGGGCTCTGATATCCATAAGGGTCTTCAAAAGCAGAATTTGTAAGGGAAATCTGAACCCCATTTGAACCATCTGGTAGACCTCTGTAGACAACATCTTTTTCAGCTTTCCTTCTACTGAGAAAACACAAGGCCCCTATTTCTTTACACTTTGAAGTGGCTACAGTTCATTCTACATCCAAAATCCTCATCTTTCTCTGACCCCTAAGCTCTCCTTTCCCACAGGGAACACAGCCTCCATAGCTGCTTGGTGGAAAATGACAGGTAAGCTGTGTCAGGCTGGGGTCCTTACAAATTGTGCCCTGAAGGGACACCATGAGAAACATCAGTCTGTGCAAAACCAAGAAGGGGACACACAGATCACTTTAGGTGGGGGAGATGTGAGGCTGAATAATGCCCTCAGAAGAACTCCACACCCTAAACCCCAAGGCTGCAACTATGGTAACAGGTACTCTGCAGGACTGAGTTAGATTTTCAGAGAAGGGGATTACACTGCACTCTCTGGGTGAACCCAAAGCAATCACAAGTGTCCTTAGAAGAGGGCAAAGGAATACAGAAGGGCCTCTAGGAGTTGTAAAAGTCAAGGAACCAGATTCTCCAGAAGCCTCAGAAAGGATGTGGCCCTGCCAACACCTAGCTTTATAAACTTCTGATCTCTGAATAGCAAGAGGGTAAATGTGTTTTGCTTTAAGCCGCTAAATTTTTGGTAAATGGTTGCAGCAGCAACAGAAAATTAATACAGAAATCTTGGGTGAAGATTTACACAACCAAGAGGGAGAACTGGGAGTGTCCCCATGGGGTGCACAGTCACTAGCACTAGGTAACTTACTGACCTCAAGTAACGGAAAAAAACAAATCAGTTGGCTAGTACACAAAAAGTTCAAAGTCTCCACACTTGATTGGCTGGGTGACTCAGTGATGTCACTGAGAACTTGGGTCTTCACATCATCCCCTTTTACTAATCTCACTGCTGTCACAAGATGGCTGCCAAAGTTCCAGATATCACATCCAGGTACCCATTGCTCAGGCTCAGGAAAGAAACCATTTCCTCTTTTGAGGTTTTTTTCTTTCTTTCTTTCAAATACTGGGGATTGAACCCAGGGCACTTAACTAGTGAGCCACATCCCCAGCCCTTTTTGTGTTCTATTTAGAGACAGGGTCTTACTAGGTTGCTTCCAGCCTCACTAAGTTGCTAAAGCTGGCTTTAGACTTGTGATCCTTCTGCCTCAGCCTCCCACTTCACTGGGATTACAGACATCCACCACCAGCTCTCTTGAGTTTCTTGTTGAGAATGAGGAAAGCTTTCTCAGAACACTCATTCTTGTTCCTCTATTCACTCCCCAGGTAGGAGGATCTCTCCTCCCATCTACCTCACGGGACAGAATTATGCCACGTGTCCATGCTTAAACCAATAATTGGAAAGCAAAATGGAAGCACTTTGATGCGTTTAGATGAATGAGAACCTGCCTTCAGAAATCAGCTTCCCTGAAGCATTTGGCTATTGGGCAGAGGGTGGAGACCAGAATTCATTGAACTGTTTTAGCAAAGAAAGAGGTAAATCCATGTTGCATAGGCATCCCAACGTGTCTGCCCACGGGTGCAGGACTGGGCTTCACAGAGACCCCAGACTGTCTCTCCCTCCTGCATCACATAGCTCTGGAGCTTAGGTAGCCCACCCTTCATGTAAGAGGGAGAGGACTGGTTAGTTGCATCAATCACCATGAAGTGCGCCTGTGAGTGGCAGTCCTGCCAAGCCACCTTGATGTGTGAGCTCTCCCTCACCTGGCCCATTGCCTTGACCCACAGTGTACAGCCTGACGGAGCCATCTGGGTCTCAGGGCTGGGCTCCACTTCCCAACTTCTGCCACCCTCATTCGAGGTGGGGAACAGCTGGACTACTTTCCTCAGAAAGTGGCTATAAGTATGGCAGCCCCCTTGGGCTTCATGGACTTCTCACTGGCCCATCCCATTATTCCCCCAGAACACGCAGTTGCTATCTCAGCCCTCAGCTTCCTCAGCCTGCTCTTGGTGGGTGATCATCCAGAGGCCCCTCTCCATTGGGCCACACTGGGGCGTCTCCTGTCTCATGAGGGCATCACAGAGTCTGTGCCCAGTTCCCAGGACACCTGTACTCCCTCTCTGCCCCCTCAACTCACTCTGCTGTCCCACCCATGAGGTGAGAGAAGAGAAAGTAATGCAGGAAAACAAACTCGGAGTGAGAGGGATAAGGAAGGACAAAGGAAAATGACCTCTCCATCAAGTCTGGCACCGTCACTATTGTCCCAGGGTTCATTTCTCCGCTTTGACAAATGGCTCTGGTTATGTAACAGGCTAACTTAGGAGAAGCTGGTGAAGGGTGCATGGAAATTCTCTGTTCCATCTTTGCAACATTCCTATAAATCTACAATTATTCCAAAATAATTTTTAAAATAAAGAGGAAAAAAAACCATTTGAGGCCCTTCTTGCCAGGGTCCCACTGCTCCCTCATCACTGCCTGGGGCTGGAGTCACTTAAGAACCCTCTGCTCTGGCCCCAACCTAACAAGAGGAAGAAGGGCTGTGAAGAGATTTATAACCAGAAGTTTCAGACACATGCAGTTCCTGGGGGTGTTAATAAGTATTCAGAAAAGCGGGGAAATTGAGAACAAGAAGCAGTAGGATTCGGTTTCTTTCTTTCTTTCTTTCTTTCAAGAGAGAGAGAGAGAGAATTTTTTAATATTTATTTTTTAGTTTTCAGTGGACACAACATCTTTATTTGTATGAGGTGTTGAGGATCGAACCCAGCGCCCCGCGCATGCCAGGCGAGCGCGCTACCGCTTGAGCCACATCCCTAGCCCAGGATTCGGTTTCTTAGTGGCAAAAGCTTTCAAAACTACCAATAGGATCAATGTTTTATAACTTTCCAGCCAGGGGCTAAATCATGATGTGTTTCCCCAAAACCTTTTAATTAAGTACCTTTCTTACCAAGTTGCTTTGCAGAACTAGTTCCACCCACCCCACAGGGCGTCTTGACCCCTTGCCTGATTCTTAGGTCCTCTGCATCAGCTTCTGCTGTTTTTCCAGACTCACCCAGAGACTTAGATATGACCACAGAACCTTCCAGCCTCAAGCCACACCTGGCAGCTCAGTCTGAGAACTGGATCTTAATTGTGCTGTATTAACAACCTGCCTGGAGCCCCAGTCTCCATTATTCTATTTATTGCCTCTTTAAGTCACAAGGTTTATCATGTGAGGAAGAACTAATTCATCCTTTTTTTCTGGGGGAGAGGGCACTGGAGATTGAACTCAGGCTCGACCACTGAGCCACATCCTCAGCCCTATTTTATATTTTATTTAGAGATGGGGTTTCCCTGAGTGGCTTAGCATCTCACTTTTGCTTGAGGCTGGCTCTGAATTCATGATCCTCCTGCCTCAGCCTCCGGAGCTGCTGGGATTTGGAGTTATCCTTTTTGACAGATGAGAAAACTGAGACCCAAAGAGATTTCAATCCTTTGCCTAAGATCACCCAACTTTCTGCCTTAGCACCACTGTCTGCTCTCCATACCTGGTCACCTGCTCCCTGAGGAAGTCCAAACAGGCTTCCTCACCTGGGCATTTGTATACATCCCCTGAGCACCACCACCACCATTCCGCTGGCCAGGAAGTGCACCAGCCAGGACCCAAAGTAACTTCGTGGTTTTGCTGACTGCCAGTGTCGCTGGCCTTTGGGCTTCCTGTTCCCACACTTGTGGCCAGATCTGTTCTACCCCAAGGGTCCTGGTGTACCTGTACCTCACTCGCTGCAGTTAAATTGCCTGCTTCCCACAATCAGCATGAGCCAAGGTAGATCAAGAGGAAGGAGGGAAGAGGAACAGGCTGACCGAGAGTGGAGGAGCAAAAAGAAGGTCCCTGTAAAGGGCGCAGGGGGGAGTGAAAAGAAGAAGCGAGCCCTGTGCCCATCTGGCATCCAGGCCTCAATGCACTGACCCTCGCCTAGTCACCAGGGACCGTCACAGTCACAGCGGTGTTCACTGTGCTTGGCCACTCAGCCTCCCTTATTTCCCACCCTCCTTCAGGTGGCCCCGCTGTTAACCTTGAGTTATGTCAGAACGTTGTCCTGCAGATTTTCAGGTTCCTTGGGTTCATGGGTGGGGCCAAGGGGTGACATTATACAATTCACTGGGCCAAGGTGAGAGCCAGTGGCACTGGTCCCATAAAACTCCCAAAGAGCTTTTTATGCTCCAAGTGTTTACTTTTGAAAAGGAAGGTCCGGTGCAAAAGCATTGACCTTTCTCTGATATTTACTTTGAATTGCATTAGAATTGTGGTATTTTCCCTTTCTGTTCTCAGCATGTCTCAGAAGGATAAACACTTCAATAAAAGCAGTAGCTTTAGAATGATCAACAGAGAAAAGTCTATAATTCAAACATTATGTCTTTGTTCCTGAGGGATCTCTTTTCAAGTATAAGTAGTAACACATTTAATATTAAAATAAATGCATAATGACTAGCCCAACTAAAAGTCTGATGGCACTGAACAAATGGAGAAACAAATTTTTTAAAACACTATATTTTTTATTTTATTTACTATTAGTAGTATTAGTATTACTATTATTATTTATTTTTGAGACAAGGTCATGCCAAGTTACTTAGGGCCTCACTAATTTGCTGAGGCTGACCTTGAACTTGTGGTCCTCCTGCCTCAGCCTCCCCAGCTGCTGATTACATGTGTATGCCACTGCACCAGGCTACAAACATTAAATTCTAGGATGTCACAACTTTGCCGTGGCTCCTCTGTTTCTAGAAATAAAAACTGCCTGGAGAAATTCAATGTGGCTGGCCTCACAGCATCTGTGGAGCCGAGGGAAGGGTCCTCAAGGTGCAAACATTTTGAATGGCAGGTGCTCAGGTTCCCACCACCCTCCTCACCACAACGGCTCCTCCATGCAGTCATTCATTCACTGACCTCCTTTCCTCCTCATTCTTCATCACATCCTCCCATTTTACTTTTTTTCCTAGCACTTGTCATTCTCTGAAATCATTTTTTATTTCTTTGTTTATTCTTATCTATTTCTACACTTGAACATTAGCCCTTTGAGAGTAGGACTTTATTGGTCTTGCTCACATACAGCTGAAACTCCAGAACCCAGAACAACACTCTGTGTCATCCATTATGAGTAGAGTATCAAGCTGCAGCACGATAAATATTAAACAGGTGGACACCATCATCATCTTCCATTGCATCACTGAGAGGCCGATAGCACCAAGTAACTTGAGTGCAAATTCTGGACAGGCTCCTGGCTGCATGTTAGGTGAGTTACTTACCCCTTCTGTTCCTCAGTTTCCCCATGTAATCATGGAGCGTAATGATGGATTTCCTTGCCCCCGCCCATCTATGTGAAGCACTCGGGATGGATTCGAGTACATAAGCAATCAATAAGCATTACTTATTTAATCAGAACCAGCCCCAGGCCAACTCATGCTCACCACTGCCATTGCTGGTCTGATCTCTTCTCATTTGCAATGCCATTTGATGGTGGCTGCCTGAGCCTCCCAAGTGACTGGGATTGTAGATGTGCACCACTGCACCTGGCTATATTCTTAAGAAATATAAAAACATGATAAATTTTTTAAAAATAGAACTGACAAATATGGATGCATCTGGAGATTATCATGCTAGGTGAAATAAGCCAATCCCCAAAAGCCAAATGTTCTCTCTGATATGTGGATGCTAAACACAACAAGGAGGGGGAGGGGAAGAACAGAAGTTCAGTGGATTAGACAAAGGGGAATGAAGGGAAGGGAGAAGGGATGGGGATAGGAAAGATGGTAGAATGAATCTGACTTAACTCTCCTATGTTAATATATGAACACACAACTAATGAAACTCTACATCATATACAACCACAAGAATGTGATCTTAATTAGAATAAGTTATACTCCATGTATGCATAATATGTCAAAATACTTTCTACTGTAATGTGTATCTAATAGAACAAATAAAAATATAATAAGGTTAAAAAAACTGATGAAACACTGAAATAAAATAGAAAAGCAGCAAAATGCTAATAGTTAATAATGGAATTACAAATTAAGCTTTCTTTACTACCTCTACCTTTCTATTTTTTCTGAAGTTTCTGCTCTAAATATGTAGTAGTATGCTCTTATAAGCTAATTTTTAAGTTATCATTGTCACACAATTACTTGCACATACTTATATTTGTTATTTGATAAGCCAGTGGAACCATCCACATTCTCAAGGTAAAGAACTTATTTCCTCTACCTACCACAAAAATTAACTCAAAAGAGATCAAAGACCTAAATGTAAGAGTTGAAACTATGAAGCTCTTAAGAAAAAAAAAAAAACCTAGGTGTAAATATTCATGATCTTGGATTAGGTGCAAAAGAAAAAAGTACCGAGGGTCATTTCTTTCTTAGAGACATAGCCTGAGCCACATGATGTTAGGTTCCTTCTGAATGGGAGATGCAGGCATTCCATTATCATTGCAGAGACCAATGTTCATCTGAAATACAAAAAGAGCATTCATTAATGGCATTAGAAAATCCTCTATGCAGTTTGACAATCCTCAGTTTTCTTCCCAAACCCACTTGTAAAACAGACCTGAACCTTCAACAAGGGCCCTGAACCAGCCCACCACATGCAAGGGGCCCCAGAGATGCAGCATAGTAATCATTTGCACTCTGACACTATACTGTATCACTCATCAAAGTCAGGAGTTTCACCTTCTGCTGTGAAACATGATCAAGAGAGTATGACTTTGGAGTTCGACAGACCTGGATGTAAACCTGTCACCCATCTCTTTGGTGGTCTTAAGCAAATTGCTTAACCTCTCTGTTTCTTCCTACGTAAATAAGGAACAACGATAGTAGCTACCTCTTGACTATTGTGTGGATATTGTGAGATAATGCATGAAAGTGCTTATTATACTGCCTGCCTGTCACATGGTAAAAGCTCAATAAAGTATAATCATAATAAATTGATGGGAAAACTATAAAATTCCAGTTAGAAGAATTCTAAGGAGCAGGAACCCTGCACCATAAATCTCGTGTCTGCAGAATCTGAAACACTTAAAAGACTGGTCCCATTTTGGAGGTATAAGGAACATGTTTAGGCCAGTTTGGAATCAACCACATCAGAATACTTGAGCATTATAATAAGGATTGTTGTATTCTGTGCAAAAATGCAGGTGTCTGTAGCCAGTGACTTAAATGTGAAACCCAGCTCACCAAGCGCTAAGCCAGAAACACCTGCTAGTATCTGTTAGAAGTGCCACGTGGTACAAAGCAGCCCTTTCCTTCTGCATCGCTGGGTGAATTGACGTGAACCCTCTTATGTGACTGGTGAAGATTCTAGTTGCCTTCACAACTGCACTTTCAAAATAAAGTATGCTTCCTTTAGATAAATTCAAAATGTCTTCAGTATATTTCCAGGCACCCTTGATTTGATAAGAATGTGCTGAGTGTTTGTGCTGTGGCAGATGTTTTAGAAAGAAAGGGAGAGAGAAAGAAAATAAGCCTGTTTTGGGTTTCTGGTAGAATAAAAGACCTTATGGTTATTTATAATCCCCCTACCCTACTTTATTTAAGGAGAGTAGATCCAGGGAAAGATTATGTGTTATGAGGATTAGAGGGTAAAATGGGAAATACTGGTGCTGCATATAAGGAAAAGGAGTGAGATTCAGAAGACAGCATCCCAATCTGGCGAGGAGGCTGAAGAGGGAGGAGGCTGAAGAGGGAGGAGGCAGAAGTGAACAGGTGGTGCCAGGGAAGGGGAGGAAGTAGGGAATAAAGAGCAGAGCTTGGAAAAGCTGCTGTAAAGAGAAAGAGTGGGACCAAGCGCAGAGCCCATGAAAGTAAGAACAGGGAAGCTCTGCTCTTTGGTGAGATGCAACTGCCTCCTGTGTCTCCACATGGAATCTTCATAATTTTTCCATGCTCAGGAATCTGAGTGTAACCCATGCAGAGAGTTGGGCTTTGAAGGAAACAATAGGTGGCCCATGGTTACAGGTTATGCAGGTTCACTTACTGAGGTTTCTGCAAGACGGTATTTGAGAAAACTCCAGAATAGAAAATGTGCTCTCCCCGATAACAGACAAGAAATTGTATGTGTTTGGGTGGGGAGACTTGGGAAGTGATGAGAGAGGAGTAATAATACAGTACACAAATACCCCATCCCTCCCTACTACCGAGCCATCCATGTTCCTTCTCAATTGGCCGATTCTGCCCAGCATACTTTGGGGAACACTTTTGATGAGTGGAAAAACTTACAGGATTGGCTTAGAGGACCCTTACACAAAACGTACCAAGCAGGAAGCAAATGGAAGCAAACATGAAATTGTTTCTGGAAAATATGAATTATATCTGACTGTAACTGATGGGAAAATCCTTTAATTTTCAATTTTATTAGGGAAACACTAACTGCTTCAATAAAACCATCTAACATTTCAGTGGCCTTAGACAAGAGAAATTCATTTTTCCCCCATCAGCCTTACTGTGATGCTCCTAGTGAGTATATTGCTTTCTTCCACATGGTGACTCAGGCCCCAGGCTCCTTCTGTCTTGTGGACCTGCCAGCCCAGATGGCCTCAAAGTCCCCTGCACCCAAACTGCAGAGGGAAAGATATGAAGAAAATCTACCCACTTCTTTTTTGGTTGTTTGTTTCTTTATATACATGACAGCAGAGTGTATTTTGACATATTATAGATACATGGGGTACAACCCATTACAATTTTTTAAAAAATTTTTTAGATGTTGATGGACCTTTATTTTATTCATTTATTTATACGTGGTGCTGAGAATTGAACCCAGTGCCTCACACATGCGAGGAAAGCACTCTACCACTGAGCCACAACCCCAGCCCCCCTATTACAATTTTGATCCCATTCTTGTAGTTGAACATGATGTGGAGTTACACTGGTCATGTATGCATATATAGGAGCCTGGGAAAGTTATGTCTGATTCATTCTTCTGTCTCTCCTATTCCCATCTCCCTTCCCTTCTCTTCATTCTCCTTTGTCTAATCCAATGAACTTCTATACCTCCCCTTCCTACCCTCCCTTGTCATGGGTGAGCATCCCATATCAGAAAGAACATTTGGCCTTTGATTTTTTGAGACTGGTGTATTTCACTTAGCACGATATTCTCAATTTCCATCCATACACCACAAATGCCATAATTGCATTCTTCTTTATGACTGAGAAATATTACATTATGTGTATATACCACGTTTTCTTAATCCATCCATCTGTTGAAGGGCACCTAGGTTTTTTCCATAGTTTGGCTACTTGAATTGACGCTGTGCTATAAACATTTGATATAGCTGTGTCACTGTCACATGTTGATTTTAAGTCCTTTGGGTATATGCTGAGGTGTGGGATGACTGGGTCAAATGATAGTTCCTTTCTAAGTTTTTCTAAGGAATCTCCATACTGCTTTCCAGAGTAGTTGCACCAATTTTCAGTCCCATCAGCGATGTAATAGTGCACAATTTTTCTGACATCCTCACCAATATTTATTGTTACTTGTATTCTTGATAATTATTAGTCTAACTGGAGTGAGATGGAATTTCAGTGTAGTTTTAATTTGCACTTCTCTATTTGCTGGAAATGTTGAACATTTTTTCATACATTTTTTGACCATTCATATTTCTTCTTCTGTGAAGTGCCTATTCAGTTCCTTTGCCCATTTGTTCACTGGGTTATTTGTTTATACAGAATAAGAATAGAACTTTAAAGTCTGCCAGAAAAAAAAGCTACAGGTAACATTTAGAGGGAAATCAACAATAAAATAATCCAGATCTCAGCTGATTTCTCAACCCAGACCCTCAAAGCTAGGAGGTCTTGGAATAATATATACCAAGCTCTGAAAGAAAATGGATACCAGTCAATAATACACACAGCAAAATTAAGCTTAAGAATTGATGATGAAATAAAAACCTTCCATGTTAGAGAAAAGTTTTAAAAATTCACAAACAGCAAGCCCACACTACAAAGCATACTAAAATATTTCAAGAAGAAGAAATGAAAAATAAAAGTGAAAACAAGCAAAGGGAGGAACTACACTAGAAGAATAATCAATCATAGGAAAAAGTAATTTAAATTAAAAATGAGAAATAAATCAAATGACAGGGAATAAAAATCATTTCTCAATAATAACATTGAGTGTAAATGGCTTAAACCCATCATCAAAAGACATAGGCTTGCAGATTGGATTAAATAACAAGACCCAGGCTGGTGATGTAGCTCAAGCGGTAGCGCACTCGCCTGGCATGCGTGGGGCGCTGGGTTCGATCCTCAGCACCACATAAAAAATTAAAAAATAAATAAAAAAAAGATGTTGTGTCCATCGAGAACTAAAAAATAAATAAATAAACAAGACCCAACAATATGCTGTTTCCAAAAGACTCACCTCATAAGCAAAGACATCCACAGACTGAAGGTCAAAGGATGGGAAAAAATATATCATTCACATGGACCTCATAAACAAGCAGGGGTTTCTATTCTCATATCAGATAAAGTGAACCTCAAGTCAAAGTTAATCAGAAGGGACCAAAAAGGTCATTTCATACTGCTTAAGGTAATTATACATCAACAAGACATAACAATTGTAAATATTTATACCCAAACAGTAGAGCACCTACGCACATCAAATGAACTCTTATCAATTTTAAGAATCAAATAGACCACAACACAATAATACTGGGTGACTTTAACATGCCTCTCTTATCACTAGATAGATCCTCCAAACAAAAACTCAGTAAAGAAGCTATCAAATTAATGAATACAATTAATAATTTAGACTTAACAGACTTATATACAATATTTCATCCATCAAGGAAGGAATACACTTTCTTCTCAGCAGCACACAGGAAGGAATACAATAGACCACATTTTAGGTCACAACGCAATTCTTAGCAAATACAAAAAAATAGAGATACTACCTTGCATTCTATCTTATCACAATGGAATGAAATTAGAAATAAACAATAAAATAAAAAATAGCAATTACTCTAACACCTAGAGACAAAATAATACTGTCTCCAAGAGACTCACCTCATAAGCAAAAACACCCACAGATTGAAGGTAAAAGGATGGGAAAAAAACATATCATATACTATTGAATTACCAATGGATAGTAGAAGAAATCAGGAATTAAATTTAAAAAATATTTAGAAGTAACAAAAATCATGACAAAACTTTTCAAAATTTCTGGGACACTATGAAGGCAGGTCTAAGAGGAAAGTTCATTGCACTGATCACATTCTTTAAAAGAATAGAAAGTCACCAAATAAATAACCTAACATTACATCTCAAAGACCTAGAAAAAGAAGAACAAATCAACACTAAAAGTACAAGACAGGAAATAATTAAAATCAGTGCTGAAATCAATGAAATTGAAACAAAAAAATTAAAATACACAAAACAATATGTTGATTCTTTGAAAAAATAAATAAGATTGATAAACCTTTAGCCAAGCTAATGAAGAGAAAAACTCAAATCACTA